CAATTATTTGGAGCCATCGGCATAGTTCATTGTGTTGAAGGTCTTTCTACTTTTTCTACTGATTTAATGATAGAGATTTCTATAACTACGAGACATAATTTAAAAGAGCCTTGTATGTTAATTACTCGGCGTTTTGGATGGAATTTGGTTGTCCGTGTTTTCTTGTTTTTAGTCTCCTAAACTCGCCTTCATTTTCAGTCTTGTTCTACCCGCAGTGTTCCAAGTAATTCTTTTATGGCATTGTGCGTGTACTTGGTCGTGTGTATTTGCTCTCATTGCATAGAATGTGCGTGCAGGTGATGTTTGAGAGAATGAAGATCGAGAAAGAATAAGGAAGAGGAAGAGAGAGAGTACATGTTGATGCCAGAATCAGCATGGAGGCTGGCCACAGCAGCAGCATCAGACTACCACTGAAGGTGAACCCTCAATCACGACGCATCTGTTGGATATAAGTCAACAATCTGTGATTTAAATATAGATATGCTAATAAACAATAAATGCAAATATAAAAATTAACAGAGTATCAAAAAACAAAAATATAAAACAAATAACTTGAAGATCGAGGCTTGCGTACCGCAATGTCCTTGAAACAAAAATTTCGTCCCTACTCAGTGCTTGTAGTTCTACGGACGTCTGCTTCACCAGGATTCAACGATCTAAGTCAAAAATTCCAGCATCGGAAAATTGACTTCTGGCGAATATTAATGTGGTTCTCTCAGAAATGATGTTTATGATTTTAGGAGAAGATTTATGATTTTTCTGTGTTCTAAATGCCATGCAGATGGATGTATATATAATGTGATTATATCTGTTCGCAACAGGTATGAGGAAGGGATGCATCTGTTGGGAGACATTTGCTGAAAATGGTGTTTTTGTTTCTGCGTTTTCACACTTCAGACTTCATCTGAAAAGATGAGTCCGCTGGAAAAAATAAATAATTAATTAATTTAAATTCGAAATTAAAAATAATTAATTAATTCCGAAAATAATTAATTAATTTAATTATTAGAACCCAAAGCCCCAAGGCCCAAGGCCCATCTTTTGACAATTAAATATATATTAATTATATATTAATTATAATTAATTATATATATTAATTACCAATTAATTAGTACACCCCAAAGCCCAACCCTAAGGGTGAGCCCAATTTTAGTCTCCAGGCCTATTACTCCAATCACTTTCTATAAAGGACAAAGCCTTATAAAGTGATAAAAAATTTTGAGAATGGCCAATGTGGGACAAAGAAATTTCTACTCAAACTACTCAAATTTCCAATAATACCCCACATTTGAGTTGAAATTTCATTCAAACTCCAACAATTACCCCACATTTGAATGCAAATGTAAATGCAAATGGATGATTAGGCTGCCTAAAACTGAGAGAGAATAGACATGATATGCATCGGGTGAAGTGTCTTTTGGACTTGAACTTACCCTAGTGAAAACATATCGGGTTTACTTGGTGACGCAGTGGATGTGGAAGATCTTGAACTGTTCACCGTAGTAGTAAACCGAGACAATATGCTACACACCTATCATGTCTGCCACACGTCAATTCATACGGTTGTGTTCATTTCGGCCCTGAACAGATCCCGGATTTCATAGGAGCTTTAGAGAATTTAGCCATGTTAATTCTCATAAATGTGGCCCCATTTACTCCTATATAGGTGACATTAATTAAGAATAGTCTGTCATATTCCTCTTGATAACAAGATATTAATGTCATTAAATGTATAAAACATAACCCCTCAAACATCAACAGACAACACACATTTTATCATAAGAATGGGAAAGTTGTGTGTTCAACTTTTGAATCAAACTCAACCAGTTTGCCTATTGAACCTAGACCATGGGATCTCCAATCAGCTAGGTTAGGTTTCCGCCCAGTTCGATTCATTGAATTGGCTTGAGACCCATTTCCCTCGATGTAAATAATATTTGCTCTCTTGGTAGGCCTTTTGTCAAAGGATCAACTATATTTTCCTTTGACTTCACATAATCAATGGATATTATTCCATTGGAGAGCATCTTCTTAAGAGTATTGTGTCGACGTCTGATGTGACGTGACTTCCCATTGTATACATGACTTTTGGCCCTTGATTGAGCGGCCATACTATCACAATGTATACATATAGTCGTTACCGGCTTTGTCCACATTGGAATATCCTCCAGAAAATTTTTGAGCCACTCGGCTTCTTCGCCAGCCAAGTCTAAAGCTATAAACTCGGATTCCATGGTGGACCGAGCTATACATTTCTGTTTAGAGGATTTCCAAGATATTGCTGCACCTCCCAAGGTAAAAACATATCCACTTGTCGACTTGGATTCTGTAGTGTCAGAAATCCAATTGGCATCACTGAAGCCTTCTACAACAGGTGGATATTTTGTGTAGTGTAATCCGTAGTCAAGTGTATTTTTCAAATACCTTAACACTCTTACTAAAGCATCCCAATGCTCTTGTGCCGGATTACTTGTATATCTACTAAGCCTACTTACTGCATACGCTAAGTCGGGCCTAGTTGAATTCATCAAGTACATTAGACTTCCAATTACTTGAGAATATTCAAGTTGAGATATGGCATCGCCTTTATTTTTCTCCAACTTGCATCCAACATCAAAAGGAGTTGCAGCAGATTTGCAGTCAGATTGACCAAACATTCGTAATATTTTTTCTGCATAATGGGATTGTGTAAGGACATATCATTCACTATTTCTCTTAATTTGAATTCCTAAAATGGCATCGGCTTGACCTAAGTCTTTCATGTCAAAACTGGAATTCAACATTTTCTTTGTTTTGTTTATGACATCTTTATATTTCTCGTGCCATTGTTTTGGTGCTTGTTTAAGTCCATATAATGACTTAACTAATTTGCACACTTTGCTTTCTTGTCCTTTAAGCACAAACCCTTCAGGTTGTTCCATGTATATTTCTTCATCTAGTTCTCCATTTAAAAATGCTGTTTTTACATCCATTTGATGTATATCAAAGTTATATACAGCCGCAATCGCTATTAACGTCCTAATTGACGTTATGCGAGAAACTGGAGAATAGGTGTCGAAATAATCCAACCTTTATTTTTTGCGATAACCTTTGGCTACTAAACGTGCCTCGAACTTATCAATGGTTCCATCCGCCTTAAGTTTCTTCTTGAAAATCCATTTATGGCCAATTGGTTTACTACCGGGAGGTAAATCAACCAATTCCCATGTGTTATTTTCCATAATGGATTCCATCTCACTTTTAATTGCTTCCTTCCATAAAGGAGCCTCAGAAGAAGACATTGCTTCTTTAAAAGTTCTAGGTTCATTCTCGGATAAGAAAGTAATGAAATCTGGTCCAAAGTTTTTAGAAACTTTGATTCTTTTTCCTCTTCTTGGTTCCACATCATTTCCTTGGACACCAGAAGAAGAGGCTTCATCATGACTATGATCATGAACTCTCTTTGTATTAGAACCATATTCCTTTTCTTTGTAAGGGAATATATCCTCAAAGAATTCTGCATCCGCTGATTCTAATATAGCGTTAACATGGATGTCAGAAATCGACGATTTCACAAGAAGGAACCTATAAGCAGCACTATTATTTGCATATCCAATGAATACACAATCAATAGTTTTAGGTCCTAGTTTCGTTCTTTTTGGTAACAGAACTTGCACCTTTGCTAAGCAACCCCACACTTTGAGGGTTTTATAAGTGGGTTTATGTCCTTTCCATATCTCATAAGGTGACTCGTCAATCTTTTTTAGAGGAACCTTATTCAATATGGTATTTGCAGTAAGTAAAGCTTCACCCCACAAACTGTGTGGAAGCCTAGAACTATTTAACATGAAATTAATCATATCTTTGAATGTTCTATTTTTTCTTTCGGCAACACCATTTTGTTGTGGTGTGTATGGAGCCGTTGTTTGATGTATAATTCCATGTTGTGCACAAAAATCTGAAAAGGTAGTAGACTCATACTCTCCTCCTCTATCGGATCTAAGTGCTTTGATTTTTCTCTTAAGTTGATTTTCAACTTCGGCTTTATATGTCTTAAACATATTCAAAGCTTTGTCCTTACTATGAATCAAATAAACATAGCAATACTTACTGCAATCATCAATGAAAGTGACATAATAATTCTTTCCTCCACGACTTGGTGTGGATTTAAAGTCACAAAGATCAGTATGAATTAATCCAAGTAATTCATTTGATCTTTCCAAAATTGACTTTCTCGTTTGCCTAGCAAATTTTGATTCAGTACATGTTTCACACTTATGATTAAAATTAATTTCGAATTTAGGTAATAATTCTAATTTAACCATTCTATGCATAGAACGAAAATTAACATGTCCTAATCTAGCATGCCAAATATTAGAAGACTCAACAATATAAGTAGAAGCATTTATTTTATTAGCATCATCAATGGCAATTACATTGAGTTTCACAAGGCCATCAGCCACATAACCCTTTCCAACAAACATCCCACCCTTGGTAAGTACAAATTTGTTGGATTCCATTACAAGTTTAAAGCCCTTAGCAATTAGAATTGGTCCAGAAACCAAGTTCCTCCTCATTTCAGGAACATGTAGCACATTTAGCAAGGTCAAACTTTTCCCATATGTGAATTTGAGTACCACCTTGCCATATCCCTCCACCGCAGATGAGGCAGAATTGCCCATATACAGCTTTTCTCCAGGGGCAGCAGGGTGATATTCTGTGAACAGATTTCTGTCAGCGCAGATGTGTTTTGTAGCACCAGCATCCATCAACCATTCATTCACATTGGAGACCATGTTAACCTCGGACGCAACAGCAACCAATTCTTCATCGGTGATTGCCATGTTAGCATGGTTGTTGTTGTTTCCGTGGCCATGATTTCCATCCTTGCGATGATAACAATCTTGTGCCTTGTGACCAGATTTGCCACACACATAGCAGGCGCCCTTAATCTTCTTCAGATTCTTGCCTTTAGGAGCAAGGGCAGATTGCACAAACTGCTTGGTTTTCGGAGCAGGAGCCTAATTCTTTTTCGGCTTAGCCTTGGAGTTTCCTCCCTCAACATAATTCGCATTGGCTTCAATGGCCGCAAACCCTCCAGAACAGTCTGCCTTTCTGTGGTCTTCTTCCACACGTAGCCTCAGAATCAAATCCTCCATATTCATCTCACGACGCTTGTGCTTGAGATAAATTTTGAAGTCATTCCAGGAAGTTGGCAATTTCTCGATTATCGCCCCAACTTGGAAATGCTCATTGATCTCGCATCCCTCATAATGCAATTCATAGATCAACTTCTGGATTTCTTCGACCTGAGAAACAACAGATTTGGAATCCACCATTGTATATTTGAGAAACTTACCGATAACAAATTTCTTTGAACCGGCATCATCAATCTTATACTTTTTCTCTAGGGATTCCCACAACTCCTTCGCTGTCTTGCACAGAGAATAAATGTCGTAGAGATTGTCATCCAAACTATTCAGGATATAGTTTCTGCAACAAAACTCGGAATGATTCCAAGCTTCAATTGCCATGACAGTCTCTCTCATTATTGGATTCTCATTAGACTTCGAAGCTTCTTCCTTAAGAACATGAGTGAGATTCATTGTTGTCAGGAAGAACAACATCTTCTGTTGCCATCTCTTGAAGTCCAACCCTTTGAACTTCTCAGGCTTTTCTGAGTATTTTGGCACAGCGCCATTCACATTTACAGATTGTTGATCCATAAATTTCTGTTTCAAGATTGTTGGATATAAGTCAACAATCTGTGATTTAAATATAGATATGCTAATAAACAATAAATGCAAATATAAAAATTAACAGAGTATCAAAAAACAAAAATATAAAACAAATAACATGAAGATCGAGGCTTGCGTACCGCAATGTCCTTGAAACAGAAATTTCGTCTCTACTCAGTGCTTGTAGTTCTACGGACGTCTGCTTCACCAGGATTCAACGATCTAAGTCAGAAATTCCAGCACCGGAAAATTGACTTCTGGCGAATATTAATGTGGTTCTCTCAGAAAGGATGTTTATGATTGCAGGAGAAGATTTATGATTTTTCTGTGTCCTAAATGCCATGCAGATAGATGTATATATAATGTGATTATACATGTTCGCAACAGGTATGAGGAAGGGATGCATCTATTGGGAGACATCTGCTGAAAAGGGTGTTTTTGTTTCTGCGTTTTCAAACTTTAGACTTCATCTGAAAAGATGAGTCTGTTGGAAAAAGTAATTAATTAATTAATTTAAATTCGAAATTAAAAATAATTAATTAATTCCGAAAATAATTAATTAATTTAATTATTAGAGCCCAAAGCCCCAAGGCCCAAAACCCATCTTTTGACAATTAAATATATATTAATTATATATTAATTATAATTAATTATATATATTAATTACCAATTAATTAGTACACCCCAAAGCCCAACCCCAAGGGTGAGCCCAATTTTAGTCTCCAGGCCTATTACTCCAATCACTTTCTATAAAGGACAAAACCTTATAAAGTGATAAAATCTTTTGAGAATGGCCAATGTGGGACAAAGAAATTTCTACTCAAACTACTCAAATTTCCAACAGCCTCCACAAGTCTCGAGGAGGGAGCAACACATGGTTGAGCCTGATATTGAGAAGCTTAACGAGATGCGTGAGAGGCTGAAGAAGCTAAATAAATTTTCTTCATTCCTCAACATCGCGTCACTAAGGTCATCTCCAACCAAGGGCTGGCCAGATGGCTCGTTTTAGCCATCTGGCCCTCCAATATATTAATATTTTAATGAAAAGTACATGGCCATATTTGCCTCCGTCTCCAACTGAGGGCCAAAGGCCATAAGGCTTGTTTTAGCCATATCACAAAAACCCGTCTCCAACCAAGGGTCAATGAGCCATAGAGCCAAACATAATTTATTATTTAAAAATAGAATTGAAAAAAAATATGATTCAAATTTTGTGAAATAGAAGTTATAGGAAAAAAATGGAATTAAAAAAATATATGAAACAAATTTTGTAAAAAAGAAGTTATAGGAAAAAAAATGGAATTTAAAAAAAATATGAAACAAAATTTGTAAAAAAGAAGTTATAGGAAATGGAATTTAAAAAAAATATGAACCAAATTTTGTAAAATAGAAGTTAAAAAAAATATGAACCAAAATTTGTAAAATAGAAGTTATAGGAAAAAAATAGAATTTAAAAAAAATATGAAACAAATTTTGTAAAATAAAAGTTATAGGAAGTTAAAGAAAAAAATAGAATTTAAAAATAGAAAAAAAGGTTTAAATTCATAAAAAAAATTTGAATACAATGGCTAGCTGACTCAGCTAGCCGTTGTATTCAAAATTTTCATACTATTCGTGTCGATTATAACCGACATGATTGCAATTCAAATTACTATTCGTGTCGGTTATAACCAACAAAATTGCAATTAATAAAAATAATTCATGTTTAGCCAACAGTAAATTATTCTTGTCGGTTATATCCGACAGTTTTAAGCAAAATTCTGGCCAACCCGGGGCTGGCTGGTTGGCTGGCTGGAATGAGCCAGCCCTCTGGCCCTTTGGCACTTTCAAATTCCGTCGGGCCAACGAGCCCTCTGGCCTAGCCCTCAGTTAGAGACGGTTTTCGGACTATTTTCAGCCCTCTGGCCCTCTGGACCCTTCGGTTGGAGACTCGTGTGGCCAAGTAACTCTACTTCCCAAAACTTCATCAAGTTTTTAAAATTCACGTGAACTCCTGAACAATGGTACTTCAAGGCACAATTTCGTTAACCCATAACTTGTAGCAATCTGCCCAAGTGGAGTGTGATGTACCAGTGAAACTAGGATTTGCATCGACAATTTCTGCCCTTGCCACTACTTTGCCTTTTTCAGTCCAATGTAAGTTATTGCAGTTGACATTGGTGAGGTTCTAATAAGCAAGGACTCGGGTGCCGCCTTCGTGAACTGATAAGAAACCAATTTATCATTTACCAGTGAAGTTCCAACTTGTGTAGGTGCTCTTTTATGAGTAGAATGCTTCTCATTCTGTGGAAAAAAAAAGAAAGAAAATATACATGGGTGCAATGCATCATTCTATAAAACTAGCATTGACAAAACTTAGTATGAAACCTGGCCACACTGGTAGATGGAGTAAAGGACCAGGGATTGCCTAGGCCTATTCTGACTTTCTAAAACAAATATATATATTAGGGAATTATGCATCTTTCTATTGCTTCAAGTCCTGCTTTCCACGTTTCAAGCATAACCCCATCTCCCAATTAGCTTTAATATTTTATCTATCTCCTTAACACAAATTAATAGCATTTAAAATCAAAGCAATATTTTGCCTTTCTTGGAAGAGAAAACTTTAGTTATAAGAATTTTAAAAATTTCCTTTTTTTTTTTGAAATCTTATACATTTTATCATCCTAAATTCGATACCTATTCAACAAATAAGTTTTAAATTTCTTTGATTCTCTATTGTTTCTTCTCTATTCTACATATTACATGAGAGTTATGTTTCGTAAAGTTTTTATTTATCTCATTGAGTTTAATAGTATAGGCAACGAGGTTATAATAAAATGATTTTAAAATATACAAACTCGTTGAAGACAATTATAATTTTTGTGAGTATGTAATATTATCTATGCATATCTTGTTTTGGACATTTGATTTTGATACACACACACACACACACACACACATACACACACACACACACACACATATATATATATATATATTATATTAGATTCGTAAATACCATCTGTTAAAAAAAAAACACCTTTATGAAAGAGGCCCCTCCTCACTGAAAATTCTAGCTCCGCCATTGCCTGACCGTACATCTTATTATTATACACTCATGTAGAAACTTTTGTTAACCTAATACAGTTTCTAGTTTATTGTTCATGAATTGCTTCCATGAGCTGTTTATAATTTGAGCACCTAACTTTGAAGGTGTAACCCCAAATCCATAAGCTCTAACATGACCAACATATTCCCTTTCAAGAACTTGAGCCAATGCATCCTCTTTCTTTGGAAGAGCCCCCATCAACTGAAACTTCAGACATATTTTGTTCATTACCCTTCTAAAAGATAATTAACAACATTTGTAGCTCACTCTAGGAAGTTTGGAGAGCAAGTCAATAAGTATATTTTATTGAAAACAAAACATTTCATTTTTTTATTACAAACGATAAGATAATTTATTTTAAATTTATCCAAGCTACAGGAAGGAAGATTTGAACACAAGATCTCAAGTGCATGGTTGACAATTGAGCTACAAGCCAACATACAAAAACTTAAAACATTAAGAAGAGAACCTTTCTAGATCCTATAATTGAGGAAGCAAATTACCAAGTAATTTACCAAATGGAAAACTAACCAAAAACCCCAAAAAAACTTTCTTTTTAATCGTCAGGACATAAATTTTCAAAAATGCCAATCATGCCCTTCAAGCATCTGTACAAGATGGCTTAGTATTCTACAAAATTCACGTGGTTTCACCAAAAGAAGACAAGAAGGCCTGATAATTGCATAAAACATTGGGATAAAAGGAAAAGGTGGCAAATTTCAGCAGCCAAGACAACATAGATTCACATGACCTCCTTTAAAGTAAAGACAAGTCTGTCAGTTTTCAGAAACAGTGCTGACAACTTTCAGAAACAGTGTGATGTCATTACTCAAAAAAGTTGTAAATAGTTGAAATGTTATTTTGTCTTTTAAGAATTAGATCTTGTATATAAGGGAGTTTTTCCTCCCATGCAGAACACACCTCAACCACTCAATACATGAACACCCTACTCTCATACTTACACCATCTTCATACTCTCAAGCATCCGTAGTCTTCACAGCATCCTTGTAAACACTTCCTTGTAAACACTTTCTTGTAAACAACTATCTTTGTAAACATTCCATATATCAATAAAAGTTCAAGTGTACATATTCAAGCAATCTCCAAGTATTAAGTAAGCTTTCTTTTCTTTCTTTAGTGTACTTGTTTAATTAGACTTCTAGTCCAAAACAGGGAAACATTATTGTAGTTATATTGTTAACCTGCTAAACTGATGATTATACTTTGTTCGAGCACTCTGTTATAGTTGAATGCTTGCCATACAAATAACTGGACATTAACCAGGGTACCTCTGAGTTCTTCATACCTCTGAGTTCAGCCTTTAAGGCCTTATACTTGTACTGTGAGCGGCCGTCATGTTGAAACATGTCGAGTTCCATGTGCAAGGTCTTGTGTCTAGTTGTTATAATGGTCATCCGACTATTTAACCAAGCTTACGTTGCGAATTTGGTATCAGAGCCAAGTTTAGCATTTTAATAGTATAATTATAATAGTAAAGTACCTTGAGAATGGAAGTCATTGATACAACTGATATCACACTTGTTTATTTTGTATGAATAACATATATTATTGTCCCTGCATACCCTGTCAACCACAATTATTAGATATTTATTGTCCCAGACACCCAACTATAAATAGCATAAAGAGAAGATTAACATATATATCCAAAAGAATAAGCAGGACCTTGAAGAAGCAAAAGTTTTATCTTGGTTATATTGAACATCCTTTATTTATTCGTAAATATAATAACACAAAAGTACAGCATAAAGTTTTAGAAACAAAAAGAGCAACATATCAAGCTTTAGAGACCTTGAGAAAAGAAAGAGAGTTTCTAAGAAACCAGTTAGCAATAACTTTAGAGAAAGGTAGATTGTAGTTTATGATAGATTATCTTAATTTAGAAATTAGTGAACCTCAAAAAAGAAAAATAACCTTAGACCAAAATAGTTTAGTTTGTTATTTTCCATTGAGAAAGCATAATAATATTTTGCATAGTGAAGAAAAGCTACAAGCCAATAGTATTGTAGATCTTATTATTAGTCGAGCAGAAAATATAAAATTAGAAAATAATAAGCATAATCATTTGTTAAACCAGTTGTTAGAGCATTTTTAGAAAAAATTCCATAAAAATAATTAGACAAAATTTAGATTATATTACATCTCAGTTAGAAGATAATAATAAAAATATTCAAAGGTTTCCTAGTAAAAGAGAGATAAAAAAGCTTGTCGATCTCATAGATAGTAAGCCGAAGCAAGTAGAACTTAGATCTTTAGAAATAGTTGAGCAGCTAAAATTAGAAGTTCAAAAAATTCAATTAGTACAAAAAGAGTTAAGTGAACAAGTAGATAAGTTGCATAATAAAATAAATAATTTATTAGTTTAATGACAGATTCTAGAAATAGCAGAAAATATATTCAAGCTTTGAAAGAAATTAGTAAATTAGATAAAGAACCAGTAGGTTTAACAAATTTTTCAACACAAGTATCCAGTAGTAATATTCCCATTAGGCAAAATAATTTAATTATTCAATTAGTTTTAAGTTTGGCTGACAAATTAGATCAAGTTGAAGAACAAATAGCAGAAATAAACCAGGTTTTACATAACGCATCTTCATCACTTTCACCATCTTTCCTAGATAAATTAGAAAATTTAATTTTAAGTGCAAATAATAATAGAAGACCTAAGCTAAATCATTTTGATAATAGAAAATGTAACTCTTTAGGAAAAAAATGAAAAGAAGTAGTTAGAGCTGAAGATATTTATCCAAATGAAGAAGAAACACAAGAATTTATTCGAAGAGGTTTTGAGAGAACACAGAAAAATAAATATAACTTGTATCAATTAGGTTTATTTGAAAACAGAAGTAGAATTGTAAGTAGCATCAGTCAACATGAAGTTAGCTGTATTGATAAAGAAGTCACACTTAATCTAATTAGTAAAGAAGCAGTTACTCACTTGAGAAAATCACATTTTAGTCAGATTCATATAGGAACAATATTAATTGGAATAATAGGATTAACTAGAGCACAAGTAGGTACAAAAGCATTAGTATACATATATGATGATAGATGAGATAATCACCAACAAGCAGTAATAGCAACAGCTAAAGTAGATTTAAGTTCAAACTTAGCAGTCATAGGTTATATTCCAAATTATGTTATGACGATTAATGAATTTAGTAAATATATTAAAGTGAGCATAAGAATGAAAAATTATAATATGAAATGAGAGTATAAAAATTTGTGTATTAGCTTAATGTATATAGGTAAAATGTTTGATAGATATAATCATAAGTTTAATTAGAGTTTCAAAATTTAGTTCAAACATTTGGTAGTAAACATGTAAATATGATAGAAGCAAAACCCGTAGATAACAGCTTTTTAGAAGGAATTCAGTGGACATTACCTAATTTACAAGTAGTAACAAATAGACAACCAGATAAAGTACAAATATATGAAACTAATACAGGTTAAGCAACAATTAGGTTTAGTAACTATAAGCAACTGGAAAAAATAGAAGAAGATGAAAGTGAAATAGAAAATGAGAGTATACATATGGCTTTTGATAATTTAGATATTAATTTAGTTGAGCAAAACTTTGATCATATTGTAGATAAGCTTATGGAAGATATTGATCATTTAGATGAAGAACAATATTTGGAAAAATATAAGACATATGATTTAGGACTACATAGAATTTCGGACGAAGAGATGAAAAATTTAATCTTAGAAATAGGAATAGAACATATTTTAGGATCAAAAGAATATAATAATTTATTAGAATTGAAAGCAGAATGTAATCCAGAAGAAGAAAGTAGTACATCAGGAGTAGAAAATCCAGGACACGCAAGTAGAACTGATCAACAATTTTTGAGACCAACAAATGAACAATATAATGAAAAAGCAAAAGTAGATTATATAGAAGAAAATATGATAAAACCTAGAAAAAATAGGATTCCATATTTGAGAGAGTTATAACAAATTAATATACTTGGTAATATATTAAATTTAGATAATGTAGATCCACAAGATTGGGAAAGAACGATTGAGAGATGGGAAAAAGGCTGCGTACATGCAGCATTAATGTTATATTTTAGTAATGCACAAAATATGTTAGATTACTTTGAGCATACTTTGGATGATTTAGTTTTTTATTATTTCTAGTCATGGAAAGTCCAAAATCCAGAACATCATAAGGCAGCTAAAACACATTTTAATATTGATGGTTTTGTTACTTTGATTAAACAAGAGTTTTTAGATCATAATAGGTTAGATGGCAGAAGCGAACAAGAACAAATAAAAGCAATTAGAAATTTAGAACAATTACAAATTTGTGATTTACAGTATATAGCTAAGTATACCACATATTTCTTTAAATATTTAGGAAAAACATGTAGAATTAGTGATATTAATTTATTAGATACTTATATGACAAAAATAAAAGGACCAATATGTGAAAAGATTTGGAATGGCAAAGCATCCAAAGAAGAATGATATTGCAATAGGACCTAGAATTCAACATGTATATGATATACTTAGACAATAGTGTAGTCAAATAAAAGCTAAGAGACAAATTAGGAAACAATTTTACAGAGTTGTAAAAATATAGATTTACCACAACAATATGGTTGCCATAAGAAAAATAAGCATAAGAAAATATACAAAAAGAAATATAAGTCATACAAACCCTACAAACAACATAAAAATTTCAATATAAGACCTTCAAGAACATATAGGAAGAGAAAATATATTCCAAAACAATTTAGAAAAAAAAGTGGCAGACCTTGGATTAGAAAATATAAAGCGCCAAAAGATAAGAGTAGTTGTAAATGTTATTCATGTGGAGAAGCTAGACATATTAGACCTAAATGTCCAAAATTAGGTAAACACTCAAAAGAAAAAGTACATTTGATGGAGTTGTTTAAGTTAGAAGAAGATGAGGATATTCAGTCAATATACAGTTTAGATGATTTAAGTGATAATGAGAGTATTTATAGTATAGAGAATATTAACATGATAGATTCAGACTTGGAAGTTTCAAGTAGCACAAATAGTAATCTAGATGAGTATATGTGTGCATTCATAGAAGAACAACATGAAGAAGAATATAAATACATTAACTTAGGTTGGCCAGAAAAATGTCATAAGTGTAATAAATTAGTTGCAAATAAATACTATAATACATATTCAATATTATGTGAAAAGTATTATTAGAAATTAATTCAGCA